TAAAATATTTACTTAACATAAAATGTAATTTATGAGTTTTCGTATGAAGGGTGACCCATGTACCTAGGGTAATTACTCAGGTTCTAAAAAACAGGCAGACGTTTCTGAAAAAAATTATTCAAAAATAAAAGTATAATAATTTTAATGTAAAGAAAATATTAAATAAAGTGGACTTAATAAAAGAAAAGAAAACTAACACTTTTACATGACATAAGCTATTTTTGTTCAAAAAATGATTTAAAAAAATATTTAGTTTAGTTATAATAAACACTTCATTCAGTTAAATTCTTCTTAGAAGATAGTTAAGATTTCAAAAAATAATTTCTTACAAGGTTTTATTTGGGTTTTGAATTCAGCATAATTGATTGAGATAATCATAAGCCCCACATTATATTTTATAATAGTTATTTGAAATAATTAATAGCATTTTTTATTTATTGATATTATCTGAAATAATTTATGGAACTTTTTATTATTAATATTATTTAAAGTAATTATTAAAATTAGGTAATAAAATTTTATTTAATATAGTTATTTAAAAAATTTAACAGTTAAATATTTGATAGCAAAACATGAATAATAGTTCACACAAAAAAAGTGTGCAAATAATCTTCAAATACCTGAAATAATTTAAGAGATATGTTTAAAAATTACTATAAGTTGATTTTTAAATTTTACTTAAATTTTTATTAATTTAAAAAAAAATTCTTTTATTTAGAATTATACTAATTAACCTTGAATTTAAATTAATTTTATAAAAATAAATTAACTAATCAGACAAGAATCCATCTAACATTCAGATATACACACTTTCTTTGTTAATTAAATGATTTACGAACCTTGAAATTGCAACAAAAAAGTTGAATAAAACTTGTTATCATACCTAGAGGAAACTTATTTAAGTAAAATTTATAAAGAAATTCAGAGTAAATTATTTAATATTATTTATTAATATTTTAACGGAATGCTAAAATAAGTATTTTTCCCCCACTAATTTTTTTTAAAAATTATTTTAAAAAAATGATAAAAGATTAATTTTTATTAATTTTTAAATATTTATTAATTTTTAAAAAAAAAAGCTGCTTTGCCAAAATTTACGAATCTTATAAATAACGTACCAATGAAAGCTGGCTTATAGTTTAAAGGATACAAAAATTGCATGCATTTATTTTCCCATAGTTTTCAATCTTAGTAATTTTAAACACATTTTTAGAATTATTCATAATGATAAAAGCATAAATGTTTATACTTATCGAAAACATTTCAGTCTTAAATGCCAGACACCTGATATTTCCCCTATGAAAGCTCCTAACGCAATCCAGTAATGTATTTTCAGTTTAATACTCATTAAATTTTGCTTTTCTACTATATCTAAACAAAACATATTGCTCTACAAAGATAACGTAAAAAATCTAACTTAACACGCAATAGTAGATGGACGAATCTAAGAAACTATACCTTTATAATTTTATGAAATTTTTCTCGTGATATTCAGAACTACAAATTTTCATCTCTTTGACGCAGATGGGACAACAGCGTCTCTTTTTTTAAATAGTTTTTTTTCTGACACTCTAACTAACAGAAAAATATACTTTTGTACTTTTTTAATTATAAAAAACAGCCAAATAGTTACTAACACAAATCTGTCAGATTATCAGAATTATATTAGTACTAAAATATAAAATTAAAAAAAAAAAAAAAATAGTTAGAATTTTTTTTCATTCCAATTCAAAAATTTATTAATAAATTTTGTAAATTAAGAAAATTTTAATTTTTAATTAATTTATTACCTTTTAATTAATTTTCTTGTAAATAATTGTTTTTCTTTGATCAAAATAACTGCAGATAAGTAAAAATTTGAAAATTATTGCTTGTAAGTGAGCCATGTTTGGAAGATTGTACCTTTAACGCAAAAAAAAGACACCGGTGTTTTATGATGCATTTCATAACCATAAATTATTAAAATTCTAAATATAAAATTTTTCACTTTTTTGCAAAATAATGAAGAAAAAAAGTATGAAAAATATATTAAATAAATATTTTGCTTTTAAAAAGGTTAGATGATATGAATAAAAATAAAATAATAGTAAGTTGCTCTAATTCACACTTTATTCAAAGGAAAAATGTTATTAAAATTAATTTTGAAATCACAGGGCATGACTTTCAACTATGCCATGAAACGTAATTTTGTAGACGTAGTTCTTAATTGAATATAGAACAAGGTTTTTTTTCTACATTTTATTGGACTACTAAGATATCATCTCATTATCCTATACTACATAGCAATATTTTTTTCTTTGACATTGTAACATTGACATTCTATGAACTGTCAACAATCATAAAAATAGTGAATATTGATAACCTCCTATCAGAGAGATAAAGTAAGTTTAATAACATAAAAAACCTTTCGCTGTTATTTATTTATCTGCAGTTTGTACTTAACATTAGTAAATTTATTTCATTGCATAATCTGGTTGTAATTACATAAAGAGGTTAAACTAAATAAATATACCACTCCATTTTAAGTCGAACTATTTTAGGTGAGAAACAAGATACCCTTCCTAGAATTGCCCTTTTATTATCAATTAGGTAAGGTGTCTAGGTTATCAATTTAATTTAGAACAGTTGAGTAAAAGCATATAAATAATTATACTTTTTTGTTATTCAAAAAAGGGAAACAGAAAGAAACAACTGGAACATAACATTCATATGAAAATAAAAATGATGAAATTTCAGATAGCTTACAAGTAATTTCTTCCAAATAATCTTCAGGTCAGATACCACTTTTTAATTGAATAAATTAAAAATTGTTAATTACTCGGTAGTATAATTCAAAAATCGTCGATGTTGCCATTCATTCAGAATAGGAGAAAGGGTACACAGAATGAGCATTTTTTAGATTTTTCCTCGTTAATTTAAAATAATGCAATTAGAATTCCAGGAAATTAGTTATTCTAGGAAATGAGGATCTTCAAATTGCATCATTAAGCGCTAACATTTACTTTTGCCATTTAAATGTAACAGTAAGACTGTATTACAATCACGCACTAATAAAATATTTGGAGTGCGTTGAACCATAACATCATTTAAATTTGCGACAAACTTAATTGAACCATATTAAGGTTAAATAAAATTTGAATATGGCTATAGCCCAAGGCTATATATATGGCTATACCAAAAGTTAAGCCATATTATCATACTTCATAAATCTGATTAGACAACATCTTAACTTCTTCTACGCTTCTAAAATTTGACTCGACATATTTATGCAGAGAACATATTTTTAAATTTAATACTTTTTTGCGCAGCAAATTTATACCGTATTATGGTTTAGGATACCGATATTGACTCAATTTCAACTTTGCTTTGATTATTCTGAAAGTAAAATATTTGAGTTTTTCTGTTATAAATAAAGACAAAAATGCGATCAAGCAGTGTTTTTTGTTAGCTAACTGGATTTGAATTTGAAACATGCTCATAACGAAGGACAAAATCATCATTATAAATAAATGAAAGTCGCGGATGGTAAACAGTATTGATGCTTTTTTAATACCAGCTATTTTGTTGTAATAACCGAGATAATTTACCTCACTAAATTTAAATGTCGATCGAAACAAGTAGTATTTTATAAATTACATTTTTCCAAACTTTCAATTAGAGCTATTTTATTGTATCACACTGTTCTAAACATGACCCAGTTTTAAAAATCATTAAAATGGAGATAGAGAGAGAGAGAAAAGTACGGTTTTCTTACTTTCGTGTGCCGTAAAAATCCATTTTGGTGATAATGGAAGTGGTAAAAATTGAGAAAAACTGCTCAGCGTTTTTAAAATAACCACCATTTGGAACTCAACGCGTGCAATCCGATGACAAAACTAACAGATATCCATGTAAATAATTTCAGTCGCTAGACTGGTCTGACGAGCATTGTTTTAAAGTTCTTTTTAAATAAATAGCGCTGTCCGTTCAGAAACTTTGTAACTGATTTTGAAACACTGAAAAAAATAAACTAGCTGATTTCCTAAGTTCAATGCAGTAAACCATTTTTTCTGGTCTTTCCATTTTGGGGACAGAGTTTAGTTAAATATTGAAAAGATTGTTTCGAATTTATTCATTGAAAAAATTCAGTTAGTTCTTGTGCGAAAAATATGGGTCCAAATAAAAAATGCAAAACATTGTTTAAAAAGGGGGATGATTATAAATAGCAACACAGAGTGTACAAGGAAATAAGGGAACAAAAGAAAGAATTTATAAATTATATATTCCGTAGTTTTCAATTACATTTTTTAGAGCTGTGGTAGCTTATGGGATAGAGCGTTGGCCTTCCAATGAGGTAAACCGGGTTCGAATCCCAGTGATGGCTGATAGATACGAATTCCACACCCGGCTCGCATCGAGCAAAGCGCTGACGTAAAATATCCTCAGTGGTAGACGGATCATGAGTTAGAGTTCCTTTGCCACCAGGTTAACTGCGGGAGGTTTTCCACTCCATATAACGCAAATGCTGATTAGTTCGATTAAAAAGTCCTTCACGAAGGCGAATTTCTCATTAAACTTAATCCAGGAGTTCCCTTGTTTTCTGGATTGGATTCAAAATTGCAAGGCTACGGAGTTGAACCTTAGTAGTCATAAACCAAAATTAGGCCCGCTGTTTAACTACGGTTATAAAATAAAATGTGACTATTAATAAACGTTAATTATATTAATACATATTACTAGTTTATAGTCATTAATTATTAAACATCTTATTAAGCATTATTAATCTATTAATTGCATTTAGTAATTTCATTATCTATTAATTTTTCTAGTACTTTTACAAAATATTGCAATTTTTCAATAACAATTTTGTATGAAATCTAATCTCAAAGCTACGACAAAAGTTGTCTTCGACAAATGTATTTTACAATACAATGGCTTAAATAAAGGTTAATCTTGAAATTAATTTATACTTTTATTTTATTTTACTAAGTAACTAATATTTGATTTTTTTATTCTTTTAGCAGGAAAGACAGTTCATCTTCGGAGCAGATTCTTAACTGACAGGATAAGCCGAACAGTTAACATTTAGTTTAGAAACTCTTGACCCTAACTCCATTTCTGTATCTACTGGAGGAAATTTAAAAAAAAAAATGATTAATAAAAGGTTACCAATGTATATGTGAAATGTATTTTATTTTATATAATAATATAAATATAAGTATTTCGTTATGCACGCTTTAATAAATACTGTTTGGAACTTCAATAAAAACTGTTTAAAATGTCTAATTTCTCGTTACTTTTTTACTCTAATGATTCAAAGAATGAATATTAAGTTTTTATTAGTAAAACTATGCTGTTGTGAAAATTATTGATATTTTTTTACGATATGAATCATGCACCGAGTTACTATAAGATTTTACACTGATTAAAATTAATTTTCTATTATTTTTATACAAAGCGGTGTTCGAAAAGTTCGGAGAATGGTGGTCACACAAAAAAAAAAGAACACTTAACGTTTCATTGGAAAAGAAAAGGAACTTTGTCAACAATTTTTTGTCACTTCTTTCCTTTCAAAAAAAGTTTCAATAATATTTTTAAATAACATTTTCCGCACCAACATTATTTTTATTGTCCATTTTCTTCCCCAAGTGATTGAAATGGGTTATTCTTAAAAATTCAAAATTAAGTTTATGTATATATACTCAAATATTATATAAACAGAATATCTATAGTAAAATGGCAATCAATTCTTATTAACGTCACCTATAAAGCCTCCGATAGCTTAATGGGAAGTTAAAGTTCGTACCTTGTAAGGAATACAAAAGTACTTTTGAATAACCATTTTATTTTTACTCTTATAAATTCAATTCTTATTTCTTCTGAGTGTGTATTACTTCTAAAGTGTGCGTATTCACACGTTTAGTAAGGAGGATTTACACGAGTATGTAAAATAAACCATTCCATCCAATGACAACAGTTACCAAAATACTTTATCCTTATAAATGTATAGGCCACACGCCTTAGAATTATTTGTTGCAAGCAAGCAAATACAATGCAATTAAAAAAAGAAAAAATATGCATAAACTAAAATATTAGAAAATTTTAAAATATAGAATGACTCTTTTTAATAGAAAACCATGTGATTTGAATTCCAAGTGCGAGAATGATAGAAGATCGGTTGTTGTTCTGATTTTGGAAGTATCTTTCTTGTTCTTCAAGACGAATTAAGTTTAATTAAGGGTACGTTTAGTTTATCCAATATAGGCAATACCACATTGACACGAAGTTTGATAAATATCCCAGATATTAATATCAGCAATAGCGTCCTTAAGATTGGAGTAATTTAGTTTATTTACAGGGGAAGAAAAACGACTTAAAAGTCACATTTATTCAAAATCGTAACAATTAGAGAATCTATTTTTAGATTTAAGTTTTAACTCTTGTTATGTTAAGATTATTCCCGTAAAAAAATTCGCTGAATTTTTACTAATTACTTAGAACAATAAATTTAAAAACCAATCAAACAAGAAAACATAAATTAAAGTGGCGAGAAAAACAAAATCTTTCAAACCAAAAATTTGCACATTAATACAAAATCATTACCTACATATTATATCGCTGGTTAAAAATTAAAACACTTCTGCAAATCACAACTTTTCAGGAGAGCTTATTATGTTTTCAGAAGTGTTTTAATTTTGAACCTATATGGTTGCGGTATATATTATGATATACTCCAATAATAACACCTACAAATCAAATCTTTGAGTTTAAATAATTCCCCAAAATTTTAAGAAATTCAAACAAAACTGCTCACAATTGAATACTACAAAATTAATAACTTACCTTTAATTCAAAAAAAAAAAAAAATTATAAATGTAGAAATCAAAATCTTAAGTAATAATTGCATTGAAAAAAAATTACAGTAAATTAATTTTTATGAAGTTTCAATAAGAGCTTTTTCTTCACCAGTAATAGCTGCATCAACAGAAAAGACTTCGGGACACAATTGTCCTAAAAATGTAACAATTTAGAATAAAAAAGGGCGGCCAGTTGGCCGAGCGGTTAGCACGCCTGACTGCGAAGTCAATGGCCGCGGATTTGAATCCCGTTCTGGGCATGGATGTTTCTCTCTTGCGTTGTCCTCTGTTGTTTGTGATGTGTAAATGTGGCCCACCCTATAAACGGGTTTGTGGCAGTGTGCAATGCTACTCGCCTCCGTGACTTTGGTTCACAGGTGCCCACTGGGTAACGCGAAATGAGTAATACCTTTGGCATCTTCTAAGGTGAAACGAATTAAGTTCAGTGCCTGCCATTCGAAAAAAAAAAGAATAGAAAAGGATTCTATTAAATAACTGACTTAAAAACAAAAAAAAAATCTATAGGAAAATGTTCTAAGTTTTTAGCAAGCATGTTCATCGGGTTCTCCCCGAGGTACGTGAACCCATTGTTATTCACTGTACTTGTGTACAAATGTGTATTTTCGCACTTATTTACAAAGTTTAGTCATTGTGTGCCTAGTTATAACTTGTTATCCAATTACTCTCCACGATTTGGTACCAAATTTGTAAGAACTATTTATAAATTTAGAAAATTTTCCTCTCTTAAATGGCACTAAACATTTTAACATTCGAAAGCATATAGTTTGTCTACGGTAAGAACTTTCCCCGCCACAAAACCTGAGGCCGTCTGCTGCTATGGAAACAAGAATAGCACATTTCAGGGAGGGTAGCTTCGTCTAGGGCTAACACAATCGACAAAAGAAAGATTCTTTTTCTCTCGCCGATCGGAGCCAAAAGCTGTCCTAAACAGTGACCCCATACCTCTACTTGGAATAGTTATATCTCGTTACCATAGCCACCGCCACGGGTCCAGACGAATGGCTAGGGGAGTTCTTACTTTAGACGAACTATTTCTTCTGTGTGGTAAATAAAAGCTATAATTGGAAAAATATTTATGTAAAAATAAATAAAACAGTATGAGTCAAAGTTCTAAATGATTTTATTTTTTTTTCGTACAATTTAAGCATTTAATATTTCTCGTAACCTAATTAGCAATTGTCTATGATGTATTCCAATATAAATTTCAGAAACAGTGATATTAGTCAAAACAGAAAAATTTTGAAACTTCAGACAAATTAACATTCACAACAGCAATCAGATACCTAGATCAGCGGTTCCCAATTTTCATCGGCTATGGAACATTAAGTGATCAACATTCTTTCAACGGAACCCTGACTTTATAACTAATGTGTATTAAGATTATTGAACCTATAAAAGACTGCTTTATTTAGAACATGGCATTTTTTCATCATTTTATCACTAATAATCTTAAATTAGGTTTCATATCCAACAGTTGAATTCACAGTGCTGGAGCTGAGTATAGTCTATTTATGAATATGTTTTGGGAGTATAAACATTAGCTGAAAATAAATGAAATAAACCAAATTATGGCTATTTTTGAAATGAAAACTAAAAAGAATTGCTTGAAGCGTTGAAAATTGTTAGTAGGAAAACATATTTCCTCATTAACAAACTAGCTAACTCATCTTGGTTTGAAAAACGCCATGGGAAATACTAATGCAATATTTTATAAATGTGTGTTTTCACAGTTTATTCATTACATTGTTATTTGAAAAATTATTTTTTTCCTAAAAAATGTGCTATTATTTGCATTTTACTTTAATTAATATTGTAAAGGCAACCAAAATATTAAGTAATAATGGATTATTGAGTGGATCTAATATGATTACAAATTTCAAAAAAGTTTAAAAATAAAAACTTTAAAAAAAGTCCTAACTTTTGGAACCAGTTTACCTCTTCTATGGAACCCTAGGGCTTCACCGAGCACCATTTGGGAGCCACTGCACAATATTATGCCACACTTAAATCAGTTTTAAATTTATGATTGTGACTAGCAAATTTAGACACCTATTTTTCTTCTTCTTTTAAAGTAAAATACATTAATAACAGTATTTGTATCAATTCAAACTAAAATAAATAAATAAAATAGTTAACTTTTCAAACATATCTAAGAGAACAGAACAAAAGAAATGTTTTTAATGAAGGGAGGGAAGAGCAAGAAGAGAGAAAGTTGATGTTCAAAAAAACATTCCCTTTGACTTAACCAGATCAAAATAGGCTTTAATCTCTTCAGTTTACTTAACATAATAAGGTAAGAGTTCAAAGTGCAACCTTATTTTTTAAATATTTTTTAGAACCTTATTTCAATTTATTTTTTTTAGATCCTGAAATAAATAGTGCTTGCACCCACTACTAACTGATTAATAGCTAAGCACAACCAAAATTAGAATAAAAAACCAATGACTGATTTGAATAAAGACTTTCAATAATCATTGGGATTGTTAGATAATATTGTTTTCCTGGAAATAAACATATTATAAACAGTTTTTTAAAGCTTCCACAAAATTCACTGTAATATTTCATCTGTTGAAAAATCCTCAATCGGTTTTTGGAAGTTTCCTTTCTTAAATTTGCAAGAAATTTTCACTCTTTATCAAAATTGTTTACATTAAATAAGTATAGCCTCAATCTTCTTTCCATGGGACAAAAAGCTCTGTAGGAATGGAAGGTTAAAAATCCCTTAATTGAAGTGACTTGTAGGTTACGAAATGTAAATAATTGAATTTAAAAAAAATCTCAAATTATATTTCATGTGAGTGGATAAGGCAAAAATCAATCAAAAAGTTTTAAATTTAAAAATAAAGGTAATAAATAATTATTAATATTCCCTCACAAATCAGAATTCTTTTTAAATTTTTTGGATATAAAGGAAACATTCTAAAGTACCTTGGATTGGAAAGATTTTGACAGTTAAAACCATGGTTAAACTGATAAGGACAAAAACACCAGATAAAATATTTTAGTAACCACATCTTAAATTTGTATTTTTTATAAAACAAATTTTTAATTAAATATTCTGTTCAATGGAATTTGAAATTTTATGCTACAAAATTACATATAGTGTCTTATGATTTTTTTCTCCGTAGATTCAACTCAAAGTTTTTGACACCAAGAAGCCAAGCCAGTTAATAGGTCATTAATTTAAAACAATTTTTATTTCAATTTAGTTTAAGGAAATTCAAAAATAAATAAATAATAAAAACAACCATACAAGCGGTTTAGGTTAAAGTAATTGTTACAGAATTGAATAAATTTCCTGTGCTGTTGAAATTCATAGTCACTAGAAACACTTTTTAGATCAAGAAATAAGTTATAACAGTTTTTTACAATTAAAAAGAAAAACTTTGAATTAAGTTTCAAATTTATACTTTGATTAAATAGTGTTACACTTTGAGGATAGAAATAAACTTATTGTAAAGCTTTTTTACAACAATGTTGAAAAAAAAAAACTTAAAAAACATTGAAAAACTAATAAAATATTTTTTTTTTTTTTTAAATATGTGAAAAAAAAAAAACTAAAAAGTTTATAAAGAGTTATAGTTAGATCTTAAATTAAGAAGAAAAAAAATGGAAACAACCACAATTTAAATAAATAATTCCTTGAAGAATATATAACAAATGTAGAATTAAAACAACTATATTGATGAAATGTGTGTACTCAAAATATGACAAAAGTTCACTTGAATAAATATCAGATAGGATAAAAATACAAAATTCCATGTTGCTTTATAGTTCAATTTTGTTTTAATTTGTTTTAATTAAATTTTAAAATTTAAGAAGTAGTATTTATATTTGTCTTTATGTACTATTCCACTTTGGTATTTATATTTTTTATTATGTCTTTGTCCAATTATTTAGCAATTTTAAAATATTCTAGCACAGCAGTGATGAAATGCCATAGTTTTTAATACTTTGAAGATATTTTTTAGAGTACTTTTACCCATACAATACAACATGATTAAAAATACTAATGTTAAAAAGTGTTTACTGAGTGATTTATTCTTTTATGAAATAGCAACATTGGAAGTCAATCGAGAATAACATGTACATACTCTAAAATTGTGATTTTTTTTTATTTTGATAATTCAAAGCAAAGTTTCATGTCAAACAATCATTATAGTGTAGAAGAAGTATCATTGTCAAAAAATTTTAATCCAGGGTGAACTAATAATAACTAAAGTGTCTAATATGCCTCTTAGTATTTTTTAAAAAAAAACAATGGCACTAAAAATAAATATAATTTAGGAACTATAAAAATTAAATATCTCAAAAAATATACACAGAATTTAAATTTGATACTTTATAAGAATGGAAATGCAACAATATATCCACTAATGTAACACTAAGTGCAAAGGAAATTAGATTAGTTAATAAAAGTACAGTATTTTGAAAATCTAAAAATAGTAAAAAAAGGGATAAATAATACAAATGTAGATTGCAGAATTTTGTACTACAAACAGATAGCTAAAACAGCATTATTAGTATGTTAAATTATTTTAGTCTTTCACGAATAGGTAATTTATCATGAATAGGTTTTAATATTCACAACAATCAATATTGTAATCAAGTTACAGTAAAATGACTATGAATAGAATTCAAATTTTTTGATAAAGATTTTGAAAAAATGTTTTGATAAAATAATCAAAATATCACTTCAATCTTAAGTAGAATAATCATCTTCAGAAAATAAAGTTTATAAACTATGTTGGCAATTTTAACTAATCATAGGGTAAGAAAAAAAAAAAAAAATACATTTTAGATTATTACCTTGAAAACAATTTGACTGGAATAATAAATATATTGAAATAAAAAAAATAATTGTGCTGAACAAATATTAAAACAAAGTTAATTGTATATAAAATATTTTGAATTTATAATATTTAAACAGCATTTACTGCACATTGAAATGTAATAAATGCAAGCCTAAAAAATATTCAACCCATTTTCTTGAATGTTTATCATCAAAAACAATTTGACAGGAGAGAAAAAAAATTCTTACAAAAGTAATACCTACAGAATATTCAATATTGAATAAATTAATAGTTATTAACAATTAATAAACAAACACATCTTTTCAATTGATAACATTAAATAAAAATAGCAATAAATTATATTTTATTTTGACTGTAAGCATATTGTCTACACAATTAGCACTAAAGGAATGATTTAAGCTAATAAATTTTGTTGCCAATTATTCTGATATATATATAATTTTGTGAGGCTACAGATGTACTGGCAAAAATTTTATTAAAAATGCAGAAAAAAAGATTTTTAAATTAAATTGCCCATAAATAATTCATTAAACACAAACCAAAGTAGAAATTAAAAATAAGCAGCATTAATAAAGGTGAAAAATCTAAATATAACAAATTTTAAAAACCAAATTCAAATTAATATAACCCTTTCTTACAATCATTAAGTATTTAAACTATGTAGGAACCAAATATCAACAAAAGTAAAACAATTATAGAATGAAGTTGAATGCTGTTTTTACTCTCTTGTACTTACGTTCAATCACTAAGCCAACATAACAAACGTAAACTTGTAACATACTCTTACAACAAGATTATATACTAACAATATAACACAAAAAATCAATTATAAATGACCTAGAGTTGATAAGCTCTATCAGATACACTTATTTACATTACCAAAATTGGCTATCACAAAATTCTGCAATACTCTAAAGATGAAATATTAAAGCAAATTGATCTAATATAATAAATTCAAATTGGAAAATTCTCTAATTTATCTATTACACAAATGTAGATTTTTTTTCTTCTTTTAAAAAACAGTAAAAGGAACACAGAGGGAACTTTAACTGACATTCTCTCACTCATAGAAAATCAAAATACTTTAAATTTCCTAAAAATAATTCAGCTGCACTAACTTCAAAATAAAAGAAAGAACTATAAATAATTAAAGCAACAAATAATATTTATCACAATTTTTATATACAATTAAGTATCCCTAGGACCCTTTTCATACATTTTNATACTTTTACAACATGATTATATACTAACAATATAACACAAAAAATCAATTATAAATGACCTAGAGTTGATAAGCTCTATCAGATACACTTATTTACATCACCAAAATTGGCTATCACAAAATTCTGCAATGCTCTAAAGACGAAATATTAAAACAAATTGATCTAATATAATAAATTCAAATTGGAAAATTCTCTAATTTATCTATTACACAAATGTAATAGATTATAAATGTAATAGTTTCATTTCTTCTTCTAAAAAACAGTAAAAGGAACACAGAGGGAACTTTAATAACTGACATTCTCTCACTCACAAAAAATCAAAATACTTTAAAATTTTAAAAAAAAATTTAGCTGCACTAACTTTAAATTAAAAGAAAGAACTCAAAATAATTAAAACAACAAAATAATATTTATCACAATTTTTATGCACAATTAAGTATCCCCAGGATCCCTTCCATACATTTTGAAAACAATTTACCAAGCATCCATAATTAATTGCATTTGGTATTTCTGCCTTATAGGTGTTCTTAATAATTGATAGCATTTTACAACCAATTTAAAAAAGTTAGCACTGGAGTTTGAAGACATGATACTGTTTTGGTTCACTGTAAGCAGTTTTAAAACTATAATATTTATTATTCTTTCCAATTTAAGATTAGAACATAAATCATGATAAATTAACACAATTGAATTACTATTGTATTAGTGAGGTTACATTAATGTTTCCTTATATAATATAGTTATTTTAATTTAATACAATTTTAAATGAATAAATATTTTAATATAAGAATGCTAAGTCAATTAACAAACATAAATAAATTAGCTTAAACTTTTTACATTTGTTAATCATTAATTAATTACAAATATTTATCTATTGGCACAACTACTTTCCATATAATTCAAAAGTATCTTGCAATTATTTCAACATACTTCTTTTAGTTGAAATCTTAAAACAAAACCTGAACATAATTTCTGATTTTATAAATTTTTACACCTAGTAAAAGCCACCTATATAAATGATGAAATAAAATAATGATTGACTTTAATTGGCAAACTAAAAGAGATCAAAAATTCACTTAACTAAATCATAAATGAAAACAAGCAGTAAATGAAAACATGGTTACAACAAATGTCAAGTTAAAACAATTGAGGACAAGACAATTAAATCATCTATACAAATAAATAAAATTAAATAATTAAAATAAATTTATTAAAAGTCCATTGTTAACTTTAATAAATGAATAATTGCATAACACTAAAAATTAACTACCAACGTATTTGGTCTTTGTATTGATCATACACACTCCATCGTTTTAATGTTTCATAACCTAGAACAACAAAAAAGGAAGAAAAAAAAGTTTGGATAATTCTAGCAGAAAGTCCTTTTGTTAGAAATGAGATACCTTCTTGGTGCCAAATTACGTTAACAGCACAAGAATAAGAGTTCATTCTATTAACCTGGAAAGAAAAAAAATTTAAATGTATAAAAATATAAACTTTCTATGAAACATGAACTACAGAATCGGCAATAAAAATAAAATAAAACAAATATAAAATTAAAATCATTTTCTGATACAAAGGCCTTTCACACAACTAAGCATTCAACGGTTTTGCGGAAGCAGTAAATCAGCATTTTCCCATTACTATATTCAGTTTTAGGAACCGAATTTGGTAAATAGAAAGAAAGGTGACTTATCGAAGAAAGAAGACGAGTGTGATGTGGTTAAGTTAAAATGCAGTATGTGCTTAACAAATATATTTACTTAAGAAGCATGTATCCATTAGTAAATAATTCATAAAAATTCACAAATTTGAACTAGTGGAATTATTCAAGTCTCATTAATTGTACGATATACAGTAATGAGACTAGTCATGTTAAATTTTTCTTTTAAACAAAGAAAATAAATACAGCTTCAACAAATATAGTTTCAACATAGAACTAGCAGAAAATTAGACAGAGGGGAGGGAACTCATATAAATGCAGTTAAGTAAAATTAATTTTTATATTTTCACTTATAGATGGCAGCACCATGATGATGAGCAAACCTTAAAAAAAATTTTTATTGTTACCATTATATCACTTTGTCTAAGATAGCATTTCATTTACAAGGGTCTTTTAGATCTTTTTGTTACATAAACAGAAAAAAAAAAAGAATAATTTCAAGCATTTATATACATTTCTAAAAACTTGTGAAATTTATATTGGACAAAGAAGATATTTTTCAGCATTCCTAATGTAATACATATTAATATGCTCTAATTAATACCAACAGATACTTTTAAAAAATGAAAACTGTTAAAAAATTTTCCAATACATACACATAAAATTTACATTCATAATAATAATAATAAGACTCATGCTGTGAAAAGATTCAGAATAAAGGTGTAGATGATAAACATGTCCAGTTTTTATGTAGATAGCTTATTAAATTTTCTAAATATTTAGAATTTCGAAGGTAGTCCTCATTATTTACTTTCTTTTACAAAGCCTAAAAATTATCCAATAAAAACTATTTAATAACAACATTAAAGATAAATATAAAGATTTATAATTAATAGCTTTCAACTACTGACAANAAAAAAAAAAAAAAAAAAAAAAAAAAAAAAAAAAAAAAAAAAAAAAAAAAAAAAACAATATGATTTTAATTAATGCTTATAGTTGAAATATTAAGAGAATTTATGAACAGTGAAATATAGTAATATTAAAAAATAATCTTTAAAATCTTTTATAACCTTTAAGTTTAAATATTTGTTTATTTTTTAAATTTTAATTTTAAAGGGAAAAACTACAAATATTCTATTTTAACACAAGTTTTTGTAAAAAAAAAAATTTATATAAATATGTCACTTACTGAATAAAATACAATGAAATCACATAGTTAACAATAAATTTAAAAATCAAGAATGAACATGCATAAACTGAATAATAAACAGTATTGTAAATAATAATAACAAATAAATATAAATTGCACTTTTAATTAAAATTTATGTCATCAGTTGAGTTTAATATGTGTTTATAGATACAAAAATGATAAAGAAGATATCTAATCCTTGTTTATTTAGGTAACTAGTCTATTTTATTGATTTGTTAAATAGAACAAATCAATGGTCAGATATTTACCAATGTCCTAAAATGAGTTCATTTATTTCAATTTACAACTTTACATTTGGTATTCAAATACTTACTGATGAACTAGTTAGGACAACATTTATTAAATTATTAAATTTTCTAAACAAGTCATGAATAAAATATATATTACTCATCATGAAATATTTCATATCTTAAATTTATAATGAAAGAATTTTCAGTTATGAGTGAGAAGCTACAGTAATCTGTTACAAGAAAAGTTGTTTTCCAAGAAAGAGGTAGAAAAGGTAATTTTTTATAACTTTTTCTACTATAACATCTTTGAAAATAGTTAAAAATTAATTTCTCATTTCACTAATTTCTCATTAATTATAAACAAAAATAAAATGAAATTGTTTATAAATCAAAAAATTAAGCATAAATGAGTTAAAGCATGAATGTTTCCAATTTTATTCATAAAAAATAGAAAACAGCAACTGTTGTACATAACCCAGTTGTTTATGCTATGTCCTTGTGCATATGTGTCGATTATTAATGAAAAACTATTTTTAACAGTGTTCTCCATCAGATTTAAAAATAAAATTCCCTGGATTTTTTTAAAAAATATCAACAAAATTCTGGACAATGCTTTAATAGAAATATATATGTACATACATTTTAATTCAATAATAAATTTAAAAAAACTTTCATTTCGATATAAAATATTTTAAATGCGATGTTTTGGAAGAATCAAATCTTCATGAGAAAAAAATTAAAGCTGAAGATTTTATAATACACTATAGTCAAATTATAGATAAAAGCAATACTTTGTCTACGTACCAGACTTACTAGTTACTAAATGCAATTAATAGATTAATAATGTTTAATAATTAATGACAATAAACTAGTAATATATATTAATAACGGTTATTAATAGTCACATTATTCATCAGATATTGTACCTATATCTTACTGGTGATCAAGAATCAAATTTTTTAACTTGTTTACTGTTTTTTAAAAAAAAAATTTTACCAGCCTAGGGGAATTAATTATTTAAATTTAAATACTGATATGTTACATAAAAATTTTAAACAAGATATTAAATACAGAATATTTTGTACAAATTAAAATTTAATAAATCTACAAAATAGTAAACATATTGCAGTGAAATTTTTAAAAGAAGTAACAGATGTCAGATTTATTTACATTGAGCCTCTTTATCTAATTATTGTTACGTGAATTTTAAGATAGGTTATTTTCCTGGTTTTAGCTAAAAAATTTTATTTTCCAGGTTTTAGCTAAAAAATCCAATCTGTGAAAACTTTGACTGAAACCTTGATCCTGAACCCTTCTTGCTAATTCCCTGAAAATGTTTTTAAGAATATATAAAATATTTTCCAATTTTACATATAAACAAGTCACATGATATAATTTATTGATGTGCATCTCCGCTTGAAACTGATAAAGCATTTAAAACCTGCAAATTTTTAACTTTGACTGACATTTTCTCCTAATTAAAATTACTCACATTTGTAACAATAACCAAGAATTTATAATATATTTCACATTGTTATAAATATTACGGTTCTAAGAAACTATTCTTTACGTAATACAGAAAATAATCATAGAGAAAAAAATGCTAAAATTAGAGAAAATTCTCGAACCTGTATACGAGCTCTTATTACGTCTAATGGATTAGTGATCACAGCTACAGTAACTCCACTCATTTGACCTCCTACACAATGAATAAACATATGTGATGTCCACAGAGGCAGTGTTGAAGCTAAAATATCTGCAACAGTTAAAATTTATTAAAATTAACAAATACTATTCAAAACAACATAAAACAGCCATTTTCATTTAACAACGATTTTAAACAATATTCCTAAATAAACAAAAAAAGGAAATAAAGAACTAAAAAATGTTCACCTTGTTTTGCTTTATTCTTCACCGCACTAAGTATACCCTATCCTCTTTTAAGTATTTTAAAATGTATGACATTGCTAATAATTTAAATAATTAATAATTTATTATGTCAACAAATAATGTGTACTGTTAAAACAATGTAAAGATAAATTTGCACATTAGTCAAATATTTTGATTCTCAACAACGAAATTCAAAACTTATTCTTAAAAAAAATAATAATAATTATTCGACAAGTTTGATTTTAGAAAATAAATTTTTTTTAAAAATTGAAGTTTATGTATGATCAAATTGAATCATAAACTGTTATTGTTATGTGTTGTGATTGACACGGTAACCAGAAAATAAAACCTTTTATTGCTTATAATTCTAACTAATATTTTAGTACAGACATTAGATAAAAACAGTGTTCCACGTGTACTGAAAAAGAGATAAATGTCATAAAATGAATCATATTCTTTAGGTTTACATAGTACTTGCTTCGATTTTACTTTATTATAGAGTAAATAGAAAATAAACAAGTTTAGATCTCTACATACACATAAAAATATTAAACTTTTTATTCATTTTAAGTGATAGCCATTAGATTAAAATGACATTGTCTGTGTGATGAAAAATAATAATAATAAATATACTTAAAAAAATATAATTTTAATTTAATATTATTAAGTTTAGACAAAATAAACTCCTAAAGTTCCTTGAGATACAATAGATATACAATGTGCAATTTGCCAAGTAACTTAAAATTCTGTATTTCCAACATCATAAAAAAATATACAATTTATTAAATCTTATATAATACTTTGTTAAATAAAAATTTAAATTATGATTAAATATTTAAATTATGATAATACTTTAAGGTCAGGTCAAAAACTTTTATGTTAGAAGGGTATTTTACAATTGGGGCAAACATTACAAAACATACTGTGGATCGATTCAAAAAGAAAATTAATAGCACAATAAAGGGGAAGGTTTTCATATCAATACCCAAACTAAAATAATTGCTAAGTCTTACGCAACTTCAAGGCAGCAACCTGCAAGAAATTAAAAAAAAAAAAAAAAAACTCAGAACGTAACCTACTCGTCACCACAGGCAAACCTTGACATATTTATTCTCTAAATCTCTGCAAGTTTAAAATCTCGTTGACCCTTAATGATTTTAGTTGGCGTGCACATGGTACCAATATAGAATTATACTCCATCTCCCAAAAATTAAAAACTAAAGAATATTTTATATACCTGAATAAACAGGATAGAACATCCACCAAAGAGCACTACTTGGAACATAAGTACACAGAGAAGCACAATAACCTCTGTAGAATCCTTTTAAACCATCCTTCTCATAAATCTTATTAATAATCTGTGCAGCAAGTCCCGTTCGAGTAGCACTCGTATCAATATTCAGAGGATTAACAGAATTTGCACCGGTCATTCCTTTATCCTTCAACAAGCCAAGAACCATCATATGTTGAGACACAATATCAAAAGGAGTAATTATGGTCTGCCCAACCAGTGACCCACAACCTCCGCCAATCAGGCCTTTTAGCTTAGTGTCCCTAATATCAGCATACAAAGTCAGCATGTGTCTCACTTTTTCATAGGTAATTATATAACCAATACCTGATGCCATTTGTATGGAATTGATCCAAAATCCCCTGTAAAGACTACAAAAGCCTTCGTACTTAAGCATTTTGAAAAAGGCATCAAAAGTACCAGTGTAAAATGCATTTTGTTTCTGGATTTGTAAACGTGTTTTTATGACAGTGAAGGGGTAAAGAAGACCCCTCAGTGCGAATGAGTTTACCATGGAGAGTGAAAAGAAACGACTTTTATCCATCATTTCCCACTCGATGGTAAGTACTCTTGGTGGTTCCATGCTAGGTACCTGACACGTCATAATATGTAACTGAGTAATAATGATAATAGAAGTTCTTTAGCAGAATAAGAGTGAAAGAATCCCTGTAAATGGAATTGGATCTTCATAGCTACTCTTAAGATCAACTTGACCTGAAATAAATAAATTTAATTAGCACAAATATAACGATTATTATGAGCTAATAAAAACTAGTGATTGCATGAAATAGAGTAAAATGATTTAGAACAAGAGAAATGATTTTGCAAGTAAATTGCAATAACAATTAACAACATTTTTAATTCTTTAATTATAAACAAGTACTATGTTAATTGTTTAAGTAATCATGCTTATTTGTTTTGGCAAGACTGAAATATTGCTAAAAAAAATCAACAAAACAAATTTATAAATTTTAATAAAATTGTGTCTTACAAAAAATAAATCTTTTGGAACACAGAGCAATAATCTGATAATAAGCTTCAAATAAATCCTTAAGGTTCAAATTAAAAAAATATATATATTTCCTTTCCTTGCATTGCAAAATATTATATTTTTAACATACTTAGGTAGATGACACAACAAATAACTATCAAAAATAAATATTTGCTTTTATCCTTAACAGTAAATTAGTCCGTATCAAATAAAATTTCTATTAACTGCATAGAAGATCTTCGGTTTGTATGAACTCTAAAGAACATTTGTATTTAAAAAATTAAATAAAAAAAATATGGTAGCCATTTAAGAAACACAACACCCAAACAATTAGTCATATTGTAACTATTGGAGAAAAACAAACACGTAAGATAAACTAGATACATTATAACATCAAAACCCTATCAAACGTTTAGATTCCTTTCTTTGAGAAATTATATTATTTTCTTAAAATAGTACATATTTAAGGTAAAATTACCCTTGAGAATTCAAAAACATTTTATTCAATTATAATATCATTCTTTCAGTCACACTAATATAACAATTCACATAAAAAGTAGAGACGTTGATTTCATTCAAAGAATTTAAATAAAAATACGCATGCCATAAAAAATAACAAAGATTGGGGATACAAAAAATAATCAAAAGACAAGAATATTCAACTTTGAACCTCAGATAACTTACATAGTTCAAATACTAATAAAGATCTCAAGGATAAATCTCAGAGCTCATAAGATCTCATCAACTAAATTTTAGAAATAATTAGATCGAGCAAGTGTCAGAGAAATGTGTTTCTCATGCTATTAAATAATTTTAAAATCACTAAAATAGACTAATATTATTCAAGCTAATACTGTTCAAAATTTATTAATTTCTAGTTAATTTAATAAATATTTATGCATAAATATTATCAATTTAAGAACATTTCACAGAACAGTATCGGCGAGGTGCCAATAGTTGCGTCACGGAAAACTTCAATGGCCTGATGACGTATTGATGATGCCATTCTCTTATGTAAAGAGTAATTTTTAAGCTGACTGGGGTGGCCGAGAGACCAATACTTTGCATTCACATTGCGACTAACAAAAATCAAGCAATCAAAGGGCTTCTGATTAGATGAAAAAGTTACACAAATTGTGCATGCGAGTTCGGAGATGCAAGCAAGAGTTTGATTGGTGAGATTAAGATTCAAGAGAATTTGATTGGATGAGCTCATATTCGCAGCTCTGAATTCTCATTAGTGTCTATTTCGCATGCAGTGTGAATGCAGTAAAATGATTTTTTCTCCATTTCTTAGTTTTCTTTTCTTCTATTTATAAAATAATTATTTCTTTCTATATTTTTCTAAAATTAATCGCGAATTTAGTAAAAAACAAAGCTTCTTTAATCCATTATTTGCGATTGTAAAGCTCAAATTCGCCATCTGGGGAGAAGACCAGTTCCATGTTTTAACCCTCCCCATTCCCTTTCCTTTCTCAGTTGTATGGATGGTGTTTTCTACACTAGGGAACGCTGCAAGCTCGGTACCGCCTAAATTTCCGGGTTACTGTTTCCGTTGTATGTTTAAGCCATTTGGCATCATTGTGTTTTGAGATTCTTGCAAACAATGTATTTGATTGCTTATTACTTGTGTTTACAATGCTAACAATACTTGTGTTTACAATGCTAAAAGTGTTAACACTAACGTTAGATGGTGCACAGCTTACAACAAGAACAAACAGTTAGACTTCCTGGACATTTTTGGACTTATGGAATTGGTCTAATTGGGATGGACCTCTTGGGGATTAGAAACAACAACAGAACAAACAGTAATAAGCTTATGGAAAGAGGCCATATCAAGACTGCCATAAAAGCGAGTTATTCAAAATCTAGCAACCATGTCACCTTTTTTAACAATATATCTCTAAAAAACTAAAACAAATTTTCACTTCAAACTCACCAGAATTACATATTAACATAAATATTTTATGAAATATGGCAGATTTGAGCTCAAAAATTATCTAATTCATTTCTTTTATTGAAAACAAAATTATCCGCTTGAAAACATCGCCTATCAGAATAACATGCCCAGAAAGCATGTAACCTTACGACAACGTTGTGTTTTAACTTTATTTTCATTGTCACGAAAAGGTTTGCAGTAAAAACCTTTTTTCAATAAAGCAAAAATATTGCAATTTCCAACCTTTTTTCCTAAAAGGAAAACTAAATGATTTTTAAAGCTTTTTTAAAAACATTGTTACTTAGGCTAAAAAATAAGCAAATGGCAAACCTTAATATTTTCATTTTTGTTCGTTGTCATGATAAGGTCAGCAGAAATACAAAGCTGAAACCTTTTTCCAAGGAAAGAAAATAAGGCAAATATTAACCTTTCCAGCGAAAATATTAATAAATAATTAGAAAATATTTTGCAAAAAACCTCATTTTAGGGAAAGCAAATAAACGAGTATAAGACCATGTTTTTGGATTGTTTTCTAAGGTCTGCGAAAGTATGCAGCGAAAACCTTTTTTTAAAGTTTTCTTGTAGTCACGGTTTAGATTTNAGCCTAATTAGAAAATATTCTAATGATTATAATATTAATATGATAATGCTGAAGTTTATAGGCTGAAAGAAAGAACTCGGTACATGTGAAATACTGCAAAAGATATGAGGCAATAATATGATGGCGCGTTTTTTCAATCTGCGGCGTAAAAATATATCGGAAGCAGTAACCCGGAAGTCTTAAAAGAGCAATTTTACCACTAGCGCCACCACCCTTAGCTTTACACGATCACCCATCCATTGTTTACATTTCTATTGAAAACACCATCCATAGGAATGTTCTACGGTATTTTCTCCTGTCTTAATATTTTTCGTCTTCACTTGTTATTCACTTATTTTTTTAAATTTCTGCAATGTTTAGAACTTTATTCAATGTAGTTTTCAGTTCCATGGATGATGTTTTCTACACTAGGAAACGCTGCAACCTCCATACCGCCGGGTTACTGTTTCCGATGTATTTTAAAGCCATTTAGCTCGCAACGTGATCATTGTGTTTTGAGATTCTTGCAATGGTATTTGATTACTTATTACTTGTATTTACAACGCTAACAATGCTTATGTTTAAAATGATAAAGGTGCTAACACTAACGTATAGTGCAGCTTTGAGGAAAACTCCTCCAGAATGAAAGTCTGGGGCAGTCTGCTGCTATGGTAACAAGCTAGAGCACATTTCTAATGGGGGTGAAATGGAGGAAAGATAGTGCCGATTGGTTTACTCACGACGACCTACGCTAAGATTAAGATAAAACTATTCACCCCACACCCCTATTCAAAGTAACCTTTCCTCGCAACCATAGTACCCACCACGACGCGAGATGGATGTCTGGAGGAGTTCTCCTGAAAGCCGCACTATAAGATGGTGCACGTCCCGCAGTGGACTGATCATTAAGACACGGTTCCCAACAGATGACCGAAGTCAAGCATCACTGGCTGCAGTCAGTGGGTGACCCACTTGGATCAGTCTGAGTGGGACCGAGGGTGTGCGGTATTGGTCCTCGTTAAACTGTGCTACCGTAAAGTGCTGGACTTCACGTGCAGGTAGTTGGGCTACCGAAGCGAGGGTGCAATCCCCTCTGCAGAGGATCAAAAATGTGATGGCATGTCTTCGGATCATCCTAAGGGATGTTTCCCAGACCATCGCCAATAGCCCATTGTGCAGCTCTAGTGCGACGTAAATGAACTGCAACTACAACAAATAAGATGGTGCACAGCTGGCAACAAGATCAAACAGTAATAAACAAATGGAAAGTGGCCAAATCAGGACTGCCAAAAAAGCGAGTTATTCAAATCTATCAACCATGTCAACTTTTTAACAATATATCTATAAATAACTAAATCAAATTTTCTCTTCAAACTTAACAGAATTATTTAATAACATTAATATCTTATGAAATACGGCAGATTTGAGTTCAGAAATTATCTAATTTACATCTTTTATTGAAAATAAAATTTTCCGTTTGAAAATATCGCCTTGCAGAATGGATGGTGTTTTCTACACTAGGGAGCGCTGCAAGCACGGGACTGCCTAAATTTCCGGGTTACTGTTTCAGTTGTATTTTAAAGCCATTTGGCATCATTGTGTTTTGAGATTCTTGCAAACAATGCATTTGATTACTTATTACTTATGTTTACAATGCTAACAATACTGTTTACAATGCTAAAAGTGTTAACACTAACGTAAGATGGTGCACAGCTTGCAACACGAACAAACAGTAATAAACAAATGGAAAGAGGACAAATCAAGACTGCCAAAAAAGCGAGTTATTCAAAATCTAACAACCATGTCACCTTTTTTAATAATAAATAACAAAATAACTAAAGCAAATTTTCACTCCAAACTCCCCAGAATTACTTAATAACATTAATATCTTAGGAAATACGGCAGATTTGAGCTCAGAAATTATCTAGTTTATTTCTTTTATTGAAAACAAAATTATCCGTTTGAAAACATCGCCTATCAGAATAACATGTAGTAAGCAGCTGCAAACTTTTTAACCGGAACTAGAGTAGGTCCCGAGCTCGAGATTGTTATTGTTTACATTTCTATTGAAAACACCATCCATAGTGTAGTGTAGTATTGTAGTTAGCAGTTGCGACCTTTCTAACCGGAAATAGAGCAGGTATTGAGCTCGAGATTGTTATTGTTTACATTTATATTGAAAACACCATCCATCCATATTTTTATGAAAGAATCTTTGTGTAAAAATATAGAGTGTATCATTTAAGAGAATTGATGCTTGGGCAGCTAGGCTTACTCGAAATAGAATGGAAAGAACAGTTGTTAATGTAAATCAACAATCAATCAGGATCAAATTATTCACGCTACGTCACTTGCCTGTATCCCAAAAGTTGTGTTTTAAAGTTTCCTTTATTAGAGGCCCCTTCAACCCAAATAAAATTAATCGAGGTTTTTTTTTTTTTTGGGTTCTTCACTTTACTTTATCTTAGAATTTTTAAACAAATTTTTTCACGTCTCTCTTTCTTTTCCATTTGGAGTAGTACGCCATCATTTCTACAATTTTTTTTAAGTCTTCTTTAGGCCGAGTCTAACCTCGTTTAGATTAATTTTCTCTTTAATGACCTCTTTGTCGAGTGTAGTATTGTTACCCTTGGATTTAACTGGAGCGCATTGCCCTTTTTGGCACCTAGGTGTATGAGTTTACTTGCCTCTTTTTTGTTTTTAATCATTGCTTTCAAAGCGCGTTCGGCTTCACGCTGGAGTCCCTTGATGTATGACAGCACCTCATTTTTTCTTATGACGATGTCATTGCAGTCAAAAGCTATGGCAGCCAATTGCGACACTACAATCAAATTCACGACTTTAGCTTGGTTTTGTGTTACTGGTCTTACTTGTTTCTTTGTTAAGAAAGCCCCGGAACTAGCCCAATTTTACTGAGGTTCTCCAAATGAATCATGGAAGTCCTCAGACACTTCAACGATTCATTTGAAGATTCTGGAAGGGTGGATGGTGTGTGAATGTGTCCTCCTTGTAAAACGAACTATGGCCGTATGTGTGTAGCAAAAGTCGCTTTCTTGGCCATAGATGGCGCCACTAGAAAAACACAAGAAGAAGCTCACCCCTTTGCCCTAAAATAGGCTTGTTAGTATTCACAAGTGGCTTAAGACAGCAACAAACAAACAACAATGAGTGCAGACAATAATTTAGGTTACGAAATCGGACACAAAAAAATGTTCTTTCTCTAAATAAGTATAGACTTGGTAAATCGACTTTTAACCCTAATATAGAAAAAGTAACCACAATCTGAAAAAAAAAATGATAAATAAGTTTAGTCAGGAGAGTGGACAAAACCTGGGACTCCTTTAAATAATTATCTCATTTTTTTTCAAATACTTGTTTGCACCTCTAGCACTATTTAAGTCTATCAAACACACATGATTCGTAAAACTTATTTATACCATAAAGTCTAAAAATATTTAAAAAAGTAATTGACTAGAGATTAATATTTTTTATGAAAATGTTTTGTTATTTCATTCGGTTTTAAATCGCCAGAACTTTTGCAATCATTTGATATATGCGACGAAAAATTTTTCATAAAAAAACAAAAAAATCTTATCATTAATACGTAGATCAATTAATCATTTTCTAGACTTTAATTTTTCATTACATATTTTTTACTTTAAATTTTTAAACCATCAAGCGTGTTTTTTTTATTGATATAGAAAAGAGGATATTGAAGAAACTTCATTCAAATAAATGATGTAATTTCACAATTTCCTGCGTGCGGAGAAAAATTCTTAGTAATAATGTGTAGAAATAAAGATGTAAAACCTTTTTTCTTGTTTAAACTTCTTGAATCATCAAACTAAGTTATTTGTATTGTAATATTTTTTACGGCTTTTAAAATTATTCTCATTAAAAATTGGATATAAGAATTAATTTGAACTTATTAAAATTCTGTTTATTTCTTGATCAATATTTTTGTTAATATGTTATAGTTTTATTTTTCTAAATAAAGTTGGCTGTGGGACGCATTATGCTTCAATTATGCACTAATTGTTTGTGGAATCACAAATGATTTTCAAAATTCAATGCCTCTTTTGCTAACAGCTGTAAAAAACTCGATTGTCCGATCTTTCTTCATTCGAATACCTTTGTTTACTGAAAGCAATAACAAAGAAGTGCACAGTTTCTCCCTCAATTTCAATCGCACGGTGTCTTAATTCTGCAATAAATGAGGCTTTTAAAATAAAAATAAAAAATCTTTTTTGAGGCATGACTGTTGATAATTTTCCATGAGTAGCGAGTAAATTTTCTGTTAGTTGGTGAGGTTCATTGCTATGGTTTTGCTAAAGAAATCTGAGATTCATAATTTTTATTGTCTTAACATTTTTTTCCTTATTACTAATGTTGTAACGGGAAAAGAAATATTTGCTCAGCCCAATTCTGATAGAAGAAGATAGATATGATTTTAAAGACAATTTAATATTTGGGTCGTAATTAAAAGGCTATTTGTGAACAAAATCCAGTGATCGCAACAATTGAGGGTTGTACACGATTTATTAGCCGGTATTTCAAGGTTTTTTGGACCTTCCAAGGTTTTTTGGAATGGGTATTAAAATATAATAAAAAAGAAAGAAAATGAGGGGCTTTTTAGTCACTCATTTTTCTTAAGTAAATCTCATCTTGCTTACTTGTTTAAAATCATTAACAGAGAAGAATATTGTAATAATTTTCTCAATTCGAAAGTACTGTAATATAATACATATACATATATATGTGTTCGAATTTTTAGTGATTTTTGATTCATTATTTTTCAAGTAAACCATGTAAAATTACCTTGTAAAATTTTATGAGTTCATAGTTGAGTTGCGTTATTAATTTTTTATAATTCTTTTTCTCTCCAAATTATCATGTGTGAACATTCATACTTATAATACTTACTGGCGCTTTAAAGGATCAGGTTTTTTAAACCATCTTATTTATTCTCTCTCTCTCTCTTTATTAATTTATTTTCTTATTATTTTACTTTTTATAATTCATTTTAAACATTATTTATTTTGTATTACGAACTTATAAATTATCAATCGAAGTTTATTGAAAACAAATTTTGGAAACAATCATCATGCTTATGTTACAGAAATAATTCTTTGAGAAAATTCTATAATTCTTTGAGAAAACGATTTTTAACTAATTTGAAATTCGTTTGATCAAACGATTTTTTTCATAATACTTTTAATGACAAAAGGAATTTTCTGCTTGATTGGTTCAGAATATTCTCTATCTTCATGTATTCTCTCATACTCATATACTCTCTATCTTCTCTTTATTCCCTATTTAGTTAAGAATAATAAAAGCACTCTTTTTTGTTTCCTCCAGTCATGAAATTATTTATTTTAAAATAATGCAAATAGTTACAAATTTTATTCAGCCAAGACTTTTTTGTTCCCTAAATTCGTGAAAAAAATGTGCGTCATGTAAGTTCCTAAATACAGGAGGGGAAAAAAAAGGAAATTTAAGCAAATTTAAGAATGAACACTACAAGAAACTTTCATGGGAACATCTAATAAAAAAGTATAATACTCTAAACCGGTTTGATGCGGATTTGAAGACAATGTAAGTATTATAAAAAAAAAGCAATCTTTCTTAAAAATAGAAAACGAGATTTATTTTTTAAATGCAAACAAATGAAATATATTTTATTCTATGATATAACGGAGCGCGTCGCGAGTCCGAGAATGACGATTTAGAATATAAATTACCGAACTCGCCAATACTTTCTTGATCTTTTTTTTACAGAATCACTAGGCGTAAACCGCATAGGTTAACAAATCCGTAAAGGAATGGAGCAAGTTTTAGATTCAGTATTGTAGTTTCAGTCCTCTTTGTGAATAGTAGTAAAAAGGATGCAATCCTCGATGCCGCATTGGTTCGGTCTTTCAGTTGATCGGAATATGGAAGATTGAGGTAGATATTAATTTTTTACATTCAGTAATTCTTCAATTCTATTGATTTCTGAACTTTTGCTAATAGTTTTACAATTCCTTATTTCCCATTAAATTATTCTCCGTTAAATTGAGTTTTAAATTAATAAATATAACGGTCTCTAGTATGATCGAGGAATACCATTCATTTTAATGAATATTTAAAAATGTTGTTATATTTATTTTTATTCTGTTTAATTAAAAGTTTGAAATAATTACACTAATGGATTAATTGAAATTACAATGAATGATTATATTAATATATTAATTGATAAAGTTCACGGAAATTGTTATTTATTAATATTTTTTATGAAAACTAGTATAATTTTAAGTTATATTTATTTAATATTTGACCGTTATAAAAAGTCCTATCAGTGAAAACTGCAATTTATTGGATTCAATCGAATAAGCGAGTTGTTACTGTTAGTGATTGACATTTTAATAAAAAGTTAAATAATTAAATCTAATAATTAAATTAAATAATTAAATTAAATAAAAAAATTAAATAAAAAATGAAAATAGAATTGATATTATTAAAACAGTGAATTTTACTAAAATTAAAACAGAAATAGATTTTATATAATTTTTCATAAAAGAAATGATTTTTTGAGGAAAGCAATTTGCTCTAATAATAATTCAGATAATTTTAAATCGTTATGAATTAAGAATGCAATATAATTATATTGCATAATTTAATTGATATCAGTGATTTTTTTTTAATAAAGAATTAAAATCGAAAGTGCTCTTAAGTAATTCTACATTAATATAAAACATGCCTAAGGTAATCAAATAGGACAGTTTTTTCAAAACTTTTTGAAAAGTTCTGTGATATTTTTATTATTCATATTTTTATTAGTAGATAAAAAATGGTCACGTAATTGGTGTTTCTCCTAATTAATCAAATTTATCTTTTAACTTATGTTTAAATTAAAATTAGCTTATTTTATTTTGCTCATAACTTTTATTTGATTTAATTTTTCAGGAATTAGTTTCACGCTTAAATAAAATACAAAAATAAATTTAATTAGCATGGTACAAAATTGTACACAAAACGTAAATAGATTCAATGCATATAAATGACTTTCATTATTAATTATACTTTATTAAGTATATTTTTACTAATCTTAGGTTGTATTACTCTAGTTCGTGGTACCACATTATTCACTGATTTGTAGTTTCAATTGGAATTAAATAAAAACAGGTTGCATAAAAGATAATTGGAACTTTAAGAGGAATTTTATAAAAATCATATTTATACAATTTAAACTGTCATAACATATTAAGATGCATTAAAAATGCATATTATTATCTTTTTGCATTTCATTTGATTCTAATAGCAATCTCATCTAATCGTAATTTAATTCGGAAAATAAAAGGTTTGCTAAAAAATTTGTTTGCCTTCTCAAATGACAAACACCATAGTAATGACAACACGAATTGAAACAAATATTTAAGTTCTTCTAAATTTTCAAAACTATATTTATAATAGTTTATAAAATTTTTCCAAAATTAAATGCATGAATTCCAAACCTCTTAATTCTAATAATAAGAAAGAAAAATGGATAAAAAATAAGTTAGTAGTTTATTATTAATTAATTAAAAGATCGAAACGTTATAAAAAAATCACCCCCTTCAAACATAGAAACAAGAATAATACTATATATTACATAAGTTGGAGTCTAAAATTCACTAATTTTTAGTCTACATGAAATTTAGAATATTTTACTGAGTGATTAAATCACTGCTTAACTTTGTAATATTTTTGCTTTTCCCTTGCAAAGCCAAACGAGATTTTTCTTTTCGCGTTTGCGTACTATATTATTTCAATTTAAACAGTGGGATATTTATTTCTGTTCAAAGGAAAAGGTATGTTATTAAGGTCTTTCACGCATTTTTGAAGTAAAATCTTTAGTTTTTTTTTAACCGTGCAAAAGTATGGAATGACCAATTTTAATACTTTTTGTTCTACTGCATAAAAAATTGGTTTTTGATAGGAAAAAAATAGTTTTCATCAGATTAATGATAATTTTTCATCAGGCATTAAGAAAATATTGCAGAACTTTGCCATTAAAAACTATCGGATGATCCTAAGAAATTTGCTAATGATATACCTGTCCCAGCACTTTTGCCATAAGAGGCAACGACAAATTTTTACTATAGTGTCGTGCCATAGCTTATTGTAAACTTTTTCCATTGGCTATAACATATTTTTGCTATACAGCTATAGCAATATTTCTCCATAGCTCTGAGGAGAGCAGGAGAATGAAAACTACTCATGTATTAAGGGAAATATTGTGGTGTCCAGACTGGAAGTCGGACGACGCCTGTTTAGCCGGTGTGAGAGGGACAGCTTAGCCCTCTCGGCTAAAGTATATATACCCAACTTCAAGTAGCTAAGCTTTATAAAGCGTTTACCACAGCTCTATGGTATTTTACCATACAACCAAACAAATTTATATAGACAATTACAAACAATTGCCATTGAATTGCAGGGATCTTTTAGAGTTCTTTGCCAAGAATGATTATGATACGCATGAATGATGAGAAAAAACAACTCATTCACAAATACGCCCCAGCTTTTCTTAAAAATTACCTGTCAAAAATATCAGTATATTAATTTGCTTCTTCGTGAACAATTTTCCCCATCTTCATAGAAAAGGATGAGTTAAATGAGCATGTTTTTGATGGTTTATATTTTTAAAGGCTCTTGAACTAATCATTTCCTTCTCATGTCTAATATTAAGCATTGAAATAATATAATGAAGAAATGTAATAATATTCTTAAAAGCTCTTGAACTAATCATTTCCTTATCTTGTCTAATACTAAGCGCTGAAATAATATAATGAAAAAAATGTAATGATATTTATAAAGGCTCTTGAACTAATCATTTCTTTCTCATGTCTAATGCTAAGTATTGAAATAATATGTGAAAAAATGTACTAATAATTTTACTCCTTTGCGAAAGCTTATAAAAGTAAGTTTAAAAAAAGAATAAGATTGTTTAAAATTAGTTGTTTTTTCTTCCAATTTTTAAAAAATAAATAAATAAAACTGGGACATTTTGTTTTTTAAATTGGAAATTTCATGTGGATAATTACCTTTTGGATTTCACCCAACCTAAAGTAATGTGTTCACTAGTATGAATATTTAAGAAAGCATTTTAGTCTAATAAAGTATAAATATATTGAAAAAAAAGCTTTAATAGTACAAAACTTTATTCTATCATACTGCAGCGCCATTTTAATTTATTCAGTGCATATTTGTAGGGTAACTTATATTATTATTTTAGATAAATGTTTTGGGATATGGATATTGTCTAAGTATTAATATAAATTCTTGAGTGGCGTTATCTCCTTCATTATAAATAGGAGAATAATCTCTGTAACAAATTATTCCATTATAATTAACACAAAATTTAAAATCTTATTCTTCTGAAAGTATTATATTTGACATTTGAATAGTTGCAATGTACACTTGCATTTTATATTTTATTTTAACGTCGTTGATATGCGTAAATACACAACAGGTGTGAGGTTTAATGTAACAAATCGTACTTTTCTAGTCCCTTAATCATTTTTTAAACATTTTCGGTTATTTTTAAGACATCGAATATTTTTGAAATACAGAAAATAAGTTTTAAATGCACATCAAGTTATTTGAAAGTGTAAAACTACTTTTAATTCTTCGCAGCATATATTGTATATAAATAACTTTGAAATACGTATATTCTCAGTTTTAATGATAATAACCACTTCGTCTATTTGTCACGTGGCTTTCTATTTGACGAATTCGGCATTTTTCTTCTTTTTTTTTTTTTTTTTTTTTTTTTTTTTTTTTTTTTTTTTTTNTTTCTTTTTTTTTTTTTTTTCTTCTTCTTTTTTTTTGGATTCGCTTTTTCTTATGTTGGTTATATACATATAGTTTAAGTACTTAATTTCGTCTAAAATTATAAAATGCAAAGTTTGTGCGTGTTTTATAAATCCAAAAAAGTTTGTAAGCGACCTAAAATTTGGAGAAAGGGTGCTAAGATTAAATTTTATTTCTTGATTTAAAAATTCGCTCAAAAGTGGGAAGAGACGCTTGAAGAATGAATTTTTCTCATTGGTTCAGCTATAGAAATTTAGTTACTTAATATAGGTATTAGTTTAGTTACTTAATATAGGTATAGGTATAAGTACTTAATATAGGTATTATAGTATTGACATTTTTAAGGCCCTCTTCAAGAGTTAAGTTTTGGATAAAATGCTTGATGAGTTAATCTCGAGCAATAGAATTTTAGCATAAACCGTATGAACTTTTATAAACGTGTTTTGTTTAATCTAATAACGTAAAGCCACAAGGAATGCCTGCAAATAATTGTAAATTTTTAAAAAAAAATAGGAGTTACATCAACTTTTTTTTTTAATTATTTAGGTACATGCCTTTTAGTTTTTTACATGATTTCGTAGTGTTGATTAATACTGATTTAATGTTTAACTTTACTATTTTTTTATCCCCTTATGAAAAGCGGGTATTCAGGGGTAGTTAAAGAAAAAACTGTTTTTAGATTATAATATTATATTTAATTTGCAAAGCATTAAAAATATTCTTTTTACCTAATTCGTACGCTTAATTGTAATTTAAAGTGGGGAAAAATTATGATCTGCTAACGTAACCCCGAAAAATTTGATAAAATTGTTTATACATTTGACAACAGCAATGCCTAAATTGTATTAAAGAACGAAAAATTAAAAAAAAATAGTATGTTACACTGTCTCAATGATGCTTCAAAGATCAGGTCAGGAGAAACAGAATTTACAGTTTTCAATGCTGTTTTGACAAAAAATGAGAATCTTTGCAAAATATTCAAATATATATATTAATGATACTTTCTTTTAAAAATTATATGTATGTAGAATTTTGATCCTTTTCCTTCATTTAAACAATAATAAAAATACAGATGATTGAAATGTAAGTAATTAATTAAGGAAATAAAAGCTTAA